CTGTCCCGGGGGCCCGCGGAGGGGGTTGGCGCCCTGGCCGAGGCGAGAACCCCCAGTTCTCTGCGGGGAAGAGGCGGCGGCTCCGGGGGTCGGTGGGCTGAGATGCTGGGCGCACCTGTCTCCCGGACGCCCACAGGCATCTTCCAGCTGCTCCCGAGCCGGGTGGTGGGGTGGGCGTCGGTCCCGCCGTTACTTTAGAGAGCGGAGGGTTGTTCCTTTACCCATAATCCGTCTGCACTCCCTGTTCCTGGTCGTTGAAATTCCAGACTCTTGAGACCTCACAGACTCACAGAATTTTCTGCTGAAGTTTAGGGAGCAGATCAAGAACTACTTAGAAATAAGGGGACCAACTGCATTCTGTGCTTTTTCCTTCTGGAACTTCACACATTGTGTGTGTAAAAGCGGGTCTTTTATATAGAAATATTCTTATTTTTTATTGCTTGTCTGTGACTAGACTGCAAGCTTGAGGAGGGCAGGGCCATGAGCACCTAGCACTTTGTTGGTTGCACCTAGTACTCACACTGCTGCCTGGTATGTGGTAGATAATGAATCCAGGGATGTCTTGTGTGTTCGTACTTCCTAGGTATGGGAAACCCTACAAGATCCTTGTTTTTCAGGGAACTCAGCACATTTCTTTAACTATATTACTTTGGTATATGGAGCTCGACCAGTGTCACTGCCCACAGTGGCAGCCTTAGTGACACTACTGGTCCAGAGGTGTCCAGAATAGCAGGGTTGTAGGGATATCAAAGGAGGCCCCCTCCCTATCCATACTTACATTAACTTTGTGTTTGGTTTTTAAATACGCATTTTTGAGGGCGGGGGAGCTTGAGGCAGGGTCTTGCTATGCAGTTCAGGCTGGCCTCGAACTCACTGTGATCCTCTTGCCTCAGCCTCCTGAGTGCTGGATCACAGGTGTGCACCACCACGTCCAGTAGCATAAGATTAAATAATTACCTTTCTGAGAACACCATCTACAAAATCAGCTACCTCATGCATTTAAGCCAAAAAACCTCTGCCATCTGGTATCTGTACATAGGGAAGGTGTCAAAGGATGGATAATTAGCAAGTCAGACTAAAGCCTAGAGACCCAGCCTTCGCTGGACAGAAGCTCTGTTTCTGTCTCAGCACTGTTGACGTTTTGGGCCAGATCATTTATGGGGTTGCCCCGTGCCTTTTAGGGTGTTTGATAGCATCCCTGTCCTGTGACTGCTAAATGCCAGTAGCATTGCCACAGTTGTGACAGCCACACACATCTCTATAGACATTACTAAATGTGCCTTGAGGGCACTCCCCCAGCTGAAAACTACTGGTGTGGAGGGGCATACATTCATACAGGCCATACCCAGAGTATTTGAACTATCTTTCAATATTTGAGCCATTTTAGTCTCTAGTGAGTGTGGGTCATCATCATGCATGTCATTTGTCCTGTGCTTAAATAAGTGATTTAGTGTGGAAGGTTTTTTGCCTTTACCAAAGTACTGTTTGAGGTTTTGAAGTTGTAATTTTAGATATTTTCCCACCTGCTTTCTTGCCTGTTGGCTGTCATTTGTAGCTGTTGTAGCAGAGATGACAGCTGTCTCTTAGCTGTAATGTGTTGTGGAATGGGAAAACAGATAATGAAATTTGTGAAAATTTTATGAGTAGAATAAATATCATTTAGAAGAGGCTGAGAACCCTTGCTAAGAAGTAAATTGTAGATTCGGAGACTATTTTAGGTTTTTCCTTTTGGATTGCACTCATAGATTAGGGAGTCTTTATAGAGCTGGAAAACTCTTAGAGGTTATCTACGCCAAAGTTTCTTTTGTCCCCAATTTACAGTCAAGAGTAAGTCTATTGACATGGTGACATATCCCAGCCATGGTGTTAATCCCAGCACTCAGAGGATCGCTGTGAGTTCAAGGCCAGCCTGGGCTATGTAGTGAGTTCATAGCCAGCCTGAATTACATATGAGAACTTGTGGCAAAAAAAAAAAGAAAAAGTTTATCTGAATAGCAACTTTGTCCAAGTTCAGGTAGTTTTGTTAATTTTGGCTCTAGACCATAACTTACAGTTCTATTTCATGATCAAGGAATGTAATATGGTTTTTAGAACCAGAAAGTTTATGTTAATAGTTATCTTTTTTTTTTTTTGTACCGGATATTGAACTTGTCCTTGTGCTTAAGTTTATGTTAATAGTTATCTTTTTTTTTTTTTGTACCGGATATTGAACTTGGGTCCTTGTGCTTGCAAGGCAGGCCACCGAACCGCTGAGCTAAATCCCCGGCTAATAGTTATCTTAACCTCCTGGTCAAAGAGATGTGATTGTACCTGTGTATGTGCTAGATTATGTGGGACAACTATTTTCGACTCATGGGCTGCAATTTGTCAGGTTCCTACCTTGTAAATTAACTAATAGTTGTAAAGCACTTAGAATAATAGTACATGGCAGATAGCAAGTACTTTTCTGTGTTGATGATATTGAAAGCATTAAACTGGGCAGACTCAGTGATGCATACAATGATATAGAGCAAGATGGACATGATTCTTACTCATATGGGGCTACATTTAGCTGGGAGAAAAGTGTGGGTTGTGTGATGCTGTCTCTTTATAGCCTGGTATGTTTGCTTCCCTCTTAGATGCTTTCTTCACATGTCGGAAAAATGCCCTTCTGGCGAAGAGCTCGTCCCCCCAGGTAGAGGGCGACTTTGCCATGGCCCCTAGGGGCCCTGACCAGGAGGAGTGTGAGGGCCTGCTGCAGCGGTGGCGAGAAGAAGGGTCAAGCCAGGTGCTGTCATCTGTGAGTGAGGATCCTCTTGCAGATAAGGCACTAGCCCAGAGCAGCCTGGCATTCCTCATGGATAATCCTGGAGAACAGGATGCTGCTTCAGAGGACAAGTGGTCCAGCAGGCAGCTGAGTGACCTGCAGGCAGCAGAGACTCTGCATGAGCCTTTCCCTCAGGTGTTAGGAGAGGCGCCAGTGTCAGAGGTTGAGGCCCCTTTGTGGGCAGCTGTGCCTGTGGAGACAGGCTCCCAGTATGCAGACTGTGCTGTCCTCCCAATGGGTGCCCTGGCTGCAGAGGAGTGGGAAGAGGACCCTGCGGTGGTGGCCTGGAGCATAGAACCGGAGCCTGTGCCCCAGCAGGAGACCTCCATCTGGTCTTTTGAAGGCCTGGGGCAGTTACAGCCTCCCCCGGTGGAAATACCATATCATGGTGAGTCTGACCAGTAGCTGAGTAGGCCAGGCTAGCAATTTGATTGGAGGAGATTGTGTGGTGGGGAGCCTGGCCAACCTCTGTTTTCCTGCAGACCTTGAGAGTCAGGTCTAGAGAGGTCTTACAGATCACCTTATCCAGCCCCATGGACTTACAGATGAGATAACGACAGCACAGAGAAGTAATGGGGCACGTATGAAATCACAGCTAGGTAGCAGAACAGACTAATTCTGATTCTCTGCACTGTTTTATTTGCAGAGGTGACTCAGGGGACTTTCTGGGAGTAGCATGGAGGGGTTTCAGGGTCTCCCTACTTTCTGGAGAATAACTTCAGTTTTATTTGTGTTGTAAATTGGGAGTCCATTTAAATTCTAAGGAGGTTCAGTGGCCCAAAAAGTTTTGAAATCCACTAAGTTGCCCCATGTTATAACCATGTTTAGAGGTCAGAAAATATACAAGGCTGAAATTACTCTAGAAATTTCTTCAGGTTGTTATGAAACACACCCTGCTGAGTGATTCTCTAAAAACTCATAGATGTATCGAAAGTGAGAGAGGGGGCTGGGGATTTAGCTCAGGGGTTCCATTGCCTGCCTTGCAAGTGCAAGGTCCTGAGTACGATCCCCAGTACCTGGGGTGCGGGGAGGGTGTGAGAGATTGTCAGACTCTTCAGTCTTTTTTGAGCATCTACCAGCTGCTAGCTCCTGGGTTAGTGGTGGACCAAGATGATCTCTGGCTTGGTAGAGCACACAGTCAATTCAGAAGAATGTAGAGTGTTGCTCTAATCATGAGAGAGGGCTGGGTGACAGGGATGATGGAAAAAGGAACTTCAGGTGTAATATTACTGAGTTAGAATCGGGGGGAGGGTCTGGATAACCTGTACTTGTCATGGATCTCTATCTCAACTGCTTTACAGAAATCTTGTGGCGAGAATGGGAGGATTTCTCTACCCAGCCAGAAGCTCAGGGCCTGGAGGCCGGCGATGGCCCTCAGTTCCAGTTCACTCTGATGTCTTATAATATCCTGGCCCAGGACCTGATGCAGCAGAGCTCAGAGCTCTATGTGCATTGCCACCCAGACATCCTCAATTGGAGCTATCGCTTTGCAAACCTCATGCAAGAATTCCAGCACTGGGACCCTGATGTGAGTGACGGGGGAAGTACCATCTGCTGTTTCCTGATGCTCTTAGAGAATGAGTTCAGTGCCATAATTCTTCAGATGATCGCAGTCCTGCCTAAGGCTGGAGCTCATCTGCCTGGAGTCAGTTGAGATTTTTGGCAGAAGCTGAGATGTGCACTTTTCAGCATCTTTATGTGGGGAGGGAAACTCAAGGAATTAGATCAGGAAAATCTAGTGCACTTCTCTGGCCTCCTCAGTTTAAGTCTTGTTGGTGGCTTTCTGGGAAGTCAGTTGTGTGGGAAGTTTCAGTGTGAACCTGCGATCTTCACAGCTTCCTACCTGCCCGGGTTCCTGTTCCTAAGGAATGGGAATCAAATTCCAACACTGTGGAGTGATTGGTTTCCTTGTCAATTTCTCAGATCCTGTGTCTCCAGGAAGTTCAGGAAGACCATTACTGGGAGCAGCTGGAACCCGCTCTTCGAATGATGGGTACTGCAGCTCCTTGGTGCACTTGCTAGCCCTTTTGCTTCCAGCAGCCTTTCCTACTTTCTCCTGAAGACTCCATCTTTTCCCATCTTAGTAAACTCCCAGTCTCACCTGTGAGCTAGCTCTTTTTGTGTGTGAGAAAGTAGTGTTCTGCAGTTTTTAAAGCAATTCTGTTAACTGTGTAATCTTTAAATTAGCCAACACCTGAGGCTTACTGTTGTTGTCCCCACTTTACAGATGAGAAAATGGGGTTCTGAAACCTTGTGTGACTTGCTCAAAATCGTAAAATCACAAAGCTAGTAGGTTATGGAGCCTGAATTCCAACTTGACTCAAGATTCTGTGCTCTTCCTGTCAAGTTTGTTATGTTGCTTTTTACCCTTCCTTTCCTCCTTCCCCTTCCAGCCCTTCAGTCATCTGGTTACAATTGTAAGGGAATCTCTGCAGTACCTAGGAAGTAAGAGGGACAAGGGCTCCCTTTATTGAGCAGCAGGAATATTGCCTTTAGGCACACACCTTGGGCTGCTGCTCTGGTTGGAAGGGACTCAGACTTCAAGGACTCTGACCTTAATCTCGATGGGTTTTTCCTTATAGGCTTTACCTGTTTCTACAAGAGGAGGACTGGGTGTAAAATGGATGGCTGTGCTGTCTGCTACAAGCCTACCAGATTCCGTCTGCTCTGTGCCAGCCCTGTGGAATATTTCCGGCCTGGCTTAGAGCTCCTCAATCGGGACAATGTGGGCTTAGTGTTGTTGCTGCAGCCACTAGTTCCAGAAGGCCTGGGACAAGTCTCGGTGGCCCCCTTGTGCGTGGCAAATACCCATGTCCTGTACAACCCACGGCGGGGTGATGTCAAGCTGGCGCAGATGGCTATTCTCCTGGCTGAAGTGGACAAAGTGGCCAGGTTGTCAGATGGCAGCCACTGTCCTATCATCTTGTGTGGGGACCTGAATTCTGTCCCTAATTCACCTCTCTACAACTTCATCAGAGACGGAGAGCTCCAGTATGATGGCATGCCAGCCTGGAAGGTGAGGTGGGGGAGGCCACTGGGAGGTGGGGATGCAGTCTAGGAAGAAAGTCAGGTGTTGGCCTCAAGTGCTACTTCTGTGGCAGGACTTGGTTATGCCTGTTCTGGTTCCCTCCTGCATTTTCTTATGTTGCATAGCTTGTGCCCAAGCCCAGAAGTTAGGAATTCAGGAGTAACATTGACATATTAAAAACCTTCAATTTTTATCAATAATTTATATTTAATTTACATATAATACATTGATCTTTGCAAGAACTCAAACATGAAATAATGCCCACTTTATTACCTAATTTCCCTACCCTCTGCTTGAGTCAAGTATAGTAAGTTCCCAACTTGTGAATGAGTTCCATTCTGGGAGAATGTTTGTAAATCAGATTTGTTTATAATCTGACAAAGTGAGTCTTACACAGTGCCCCTGTGATCTTATTTAGTATACCTGTGAAAGTTCACCACTCAATTATTTATAAATTGAGGACTTATGGTAGTGACTAGTCTAAGCTTGGTGGCATTCTTCCAGATTGTTTTCTATGCATGTGTAGTGATATCTATGTCACTGTGACACTACATCACAATTTACATTTATTAAACACTTACTGTGTGCCAGGTGCTATTTTAAGCATTTTTACATGCATTAACTCATTAATTTTCACTATTTCTGTCACTACTTCCATTTTATAAATGAGAAACCTGAGGCACAGTGAGAAGTCAATTCAGATTTGTAACTGAGCGGTCTGGCCCCACAGCTGATCTGTAACTATCATATATATTTTATAAACATGAAATAGTGCTAAGTGTTCCATTTGTAGCTTGTTTTTCTACATTCAATAATTTGCATATAGATCTAATTCCTTTCGGTTGCTGCATATTGATAGCATAGATAGCTCATAGTTTTATCAGCTTGTGCTGATTTCTTTGTCCCTCAATCTTTGTTTCTGTGTTGTGTCCCTACTATCCAACTTAGCCTTTGGCAGAGCACCGTGAAGAAAAGACAGAAAAGAATTGAATTATTATTATTGAGCTTCTGTTTTAATGAGGATACTCAAGTACTAGCAGTGTGCTAATTGCCTACAGTAGGGTGTTACCTTGCTTTAAAGGAGCTGCAGTCAAGTTGTTCTGGGAACAGGAAAAAGAATTTGCCAAGAGCCTGTTGTATGGGAGGCACTGTTAGGCATAGTGGATGAAACAGCTTGCTTTGAAGCCAGACAGTACTGAGTTCAAATCCCCATTCTGCTATCTTGGACAAGCTAGCTTGCTTCTTCCCTTCCTTTTTTTTTTTTTTGGTGGTACCAGTAATTGAATCCAGGGCCTGTGTACTGAGCTACATTCACAGCCCTTTTTATTTTTTTGCAGTACTAGTTTTTTGAACCCAGGGATTTTGCATGGAGCTAATTCCCTACCCCTTTTTATTATTTTCATTTTTGAAACAATGTCTTGCTAAGTCACCCAGGTTGGGCTCAAACTTGCAATCTTCCTGCATCCCAGGTGCTGGGATTACAGGTGTGCATTTAACTATTTACCACTATTTAACTTGCTTAAGCCCTATTTACTTCATCTGTAGATTGAAGGAGTAATGGGTCTTAACATCAAATTTTGTTGTTGCTGTTGTTTTGATAAATAAATGTAAAATGTTTTCTAGTATAGTCAGTAATTGGTAGTGATTGTTAAGTTTTTTTTTAAACTGTACACAGCTATTAAATAGTCATTAAATTCCAGGTCCATTTTATTCAGATGACATATTGAAAGCTTATGCCCTTTAAGAGCAGAGGGAGAATGTCTATCACTACTCTGTCCTCAGCACTGATATAGTATCTTACACATAACTGGTATTCAAATATTATTGTTAAATGAAAGAAAGGGAATTTTGCTACCACATTGGAGAGATGCGGATAACTGATGTTGTCAGCTGTTTCCCCTACTACATTTTGCCCATTTCCAGGCTGCTCGTTGGCTTTGACCAAGGGTGGTGACATAGATACAGTAAAATGCTTTGAGGAATTTCTCATTTTCTTTGATCCTATGGTTAATAGTAGGCTCAAGATATTATTAGACCTTGGTCCAGAAGATTGAAAGACCAGGATAAACCTTTTCCTATTGCAAGTCAGAGCCCCTGAGAGTTGGTATTCCCTGTGGAGAGTTGTGCATATTTTTCTGAGGCAAAACCTAGGAGCCCATGGTCCTGTAGTTCCATTCTCTTTGACTCATACCTTACTCTCACTTCTTTCTGTTTCATGCACATTTCAGTATTTTTGTGAAAACTGGATGTTTTTAACTAGCTCATTATTTTTAACCTTTTCTTGAGATTTATGTGGCTTATACTGTGTATATCGTGTATGTTGTATGTATTTGTACTTGTCTATATGTCCCAAAACATGTTATTTTCTTTTTCTATTTCATTTTCCTTTTTCCCACCCTACCCTTTCCTTGTAGGTATCTGGCCAGGAAGACTTCTCCTATCAGCTTTACCAGCGGAAGTTGCAGGCCCCTCTGTGGCCCAGCTCCCTGGGTATCAATGATTGTTGTCAGTATGTCACCTCCTGTCACCTTAAGAGATCAGGTGAGAGCAAGGCACATTGTTGGTTGTTGTGTCTTCAAGCCCATTTTGGGAGAAAGCTTGCTCCTCATTGACAAGAGAAAGTATAATCTCCTTCAAGTTCCTTTGTTTTTCTCACTGTTTTCTGTATGGCCACCCAATGAAATGAACAATTTTAAATCATAGCTTTTGGAAAAGTCTCCTGTCTTCAAAGCCAGACAGAAGATCTTAGCATGTGGTTCCTTTTTCTTTCTTTCTTTCACTGGCTTTTCTGGTTTACAGAGAGACGTAAGTATGGCCGAGATTTCCTGCTACGTTTCCGCTTCTGCAGTATTGCTTGTCAGCGACCAGTAGGATTGGTTCTTATGGAAGGAGTGACAGACAATAAACCAGGTAACAAGAAAGTTTGTTTTCTTGGTTCTCTTTCTTCCTCACCCCTGACATTATTGGTTCTGTGATTTCTTAGTCTTTTGTAAATATAATTCTTAGAGAGCAGCTTCTGGTAATTAGTGTACAAGAGGGAAGGTGAATTGAGTTGCATGACCTATATAAGTATGGATAAGAATATATATAAGTAGAGTGATAAGAACACTGGACCGGAAATCAAGAGACCTGGGTTCTCACCAGATCTGACCTTGAGTAAGGCACTTAATATTTTTGGGCTTAGGTTGCTAGTAATTAGCATTTATACAGGATTTCTAGGGGAGGAGATACACTGATAGTGCTTCAAAGTCATGAGGTGACAATGAACCTTGTCATAATAAAAAGGTGCTTCTGTGGAGAATTTCTAGGTGGGATGTTGCAGAGTATTCTCGATCCTCTTTCCTTTTTATCTCGGAAACCAACTCGAAGATGAAAAAAGAAGCCAAACCTCCATCTTTGACAAAAATAGGGGATATGAAGGTATCTCAGACATTCAACCTTAGCACAGATGGATGGCCACAAGAAGCTCTGGACAGTGTGCCTGGTGCTGGAGAAAGTATGGAGAAACTTATGTGGGGGCTGTGTGGGGCTTAGACAGAATCAGCAGAGTACTTTTTCCCAAGGTGAGGAGTACATCGTGAAGCACACAATCAAAATCCCTTGTTTTTCCAATAGTAATAGAATGCATGGGTTGCAATAGGAAAGTCTGGACCATTTTGACTCTAAGAGGCAGTGGAGGAAGGACTGACCAAAGACAAAGCATATTTGCATTAAGCAGTTTGTTCCAGTGGTAGATAGTGAGATATTTACAGAGCTGCATATCTGTTTGGGGAGAATTAAAGATTCAGTGTCCAATGCACAATCCTGTATCATGAGGAAGTTTCTGTTATTTGGAGTGTATGCCTAGTCCTTTTATATAAACTTCTTACAAATAGTTAATACGGAAAAACCTTAGCTAACTCAAAGATGGTTGTCCAAAAGGAACAGTATGGGATCTGTATTAAAGTACTATGAGAAAAAAAAAGGAAAGGAGGAGTGAGGGAGGCACAAAGAGTTGGAAGAAGAAGAAGGAAGAGGAGAGGGGGAGGGGGAGGCAGGGGCAGGGGCAGGGAAGAGGAATAAAAAATTATTGCCATAGAGCATGTGGAAATTATGATTATCTTCTCATAGATGAAAAATGAAAAATTGCTTTTATAAAAGAATATAAAAATGAGGTAACTGCTTTTATAAAATCATTAATGCACATGGCAAGACATCAGAAGATGAAATATGTGAAGTTCAGAAAAGAAGTGGAATAAGAAAGTATAGTAGCACATATGTTTAATCCAGGCTACTCAGGAACCTGAGACACAAGAATTGCATATTTGAGGCTACTCTGGGAAATTTAGCAAGACCTTTTAACAAAAAACAAACCCAAAAAATGGCCTGGTGTTCAGCACTTCCTGGGTCCAAGCCCTTGTACCACAGCAAACAAGCCCACAAGATTGAAGACATACTTAGGATGCAAAAGGAAGAATAGATACTGCTAAAAATGAGACAGGCCAGGAAATCAGAACAAAACCAGCAAAATAAAGATGAAAAGAGAGTAAAAGCATGAAAAGGACTAGAAAGAAAATGCAACATTGAAAGTTAGAAGGAGATTCAACATGCACATAATTAGAGTTCACAAAGAAGAAAACTAACATAATCACACAAGAGAAATATTTTTCTAGATTTCCCTAAAATGAAAAGGTCTAAATCTTCAGATTGAGAGAACATATCATGTTTAAGTAAAAAACATTGCAGGGGGAATTAACACTAACACTTCCTAGTGAAGCTACTACAAACCAAAAAGAAAATAATCCTTTGGGGAGTTGAACCAAAATACTATGCTACTTTAAAGCGTAATTGTAATCAGATTGGCTATAGCCTTCTTAATGTTGATATTTAGCGCTAGAAGCTGGACCAGAGCATCAATGGCAAAAAGGTATAGCTTAAGATTTTGTATCTAACTAACAGCTCTTTTGGTAGAAACAAGTAGAGGAATAAAAGGCAATCAAACAGTGGCTGGATATAATAGAAAAGGCCTGGTGATAAGTGGTGAATTTATGTTTGTCTTACAAGGACTTAATTTCAATTGACATTTTGCACAGAGCAGTAAACATTTCAGTGGCTCATTTTAAAAAATCGCTTAGCTTCACTGTTATCACAGCTGTGCATAAGGAATAATAGTAATTGCTGCCATGTACTGAGTTACTAGCATGTGCCAGGAACTGAGATAAATACTTCTATAAGTCAGACTCAGCCAGGAGAACAGTGGGGCGGAGTTTTAAGATTATAAAATCCTAAAGCTAAACCATTACAGAATCCCACTTAGGAAATTTTATATTAAGAATAGGTTAATGAAAAAAACATTGGTTTATTTGAATAATGCATTTAAACGTAATGATAAACCAAATTAAACCAAGGACAATTTAAGTATATACTGACAATCACTTTGTAAGTAGAAAAGAATTATTCTGTGGTGGTGGGGAATACCCAATTCAAGAATAGTGCAAAATGACAGTAGGATTTTCACAATTGTGATTAAATTTGGGTGAATTTCCACATGCTGTGAATACACCCTTCCACTTGTTTAGTGTCCTATCGAGGGCCAAACAGGCCACTGATGAATCTCTTTTAAAGATTTCAAATTTTGGGCTGGGGATTTAGCTCAGTGGCGCCGCTGTCTGCCTCCCAAGCGCAAGGTCCCAAGTTTGATCCCTGGTACCAAAAAAAAAAGACTTCAAATTTTAAAGTCTATCACCATTTTTAGATATGAAAAGATTTAAGTGCAGTACAAGGAGGTCAGAGTACTGTATGTGAGTTCTTTCTCCCTTAGAGAATCTGCTTAGATATGCTAGCAAATATTATTTCCTGTTCATTACCAAGGTGACCCAAACTAACTGTCAACTTGACTGTGACAGTAATTTTAATGGGGAGCCTCTGAGTGCAAAGGGAGATGCAGTATTAGGTGGCGGTGGTTGATTTTCCTCCATGCTCATGCTGGAGCCTCACGCTGTGCTGGAGCCTTCTGCATCACTCTCCCTGTATAACATAAAACATATGTTATCAGTCTTCCAGCTCCCTTTGTGATAGAGCAGTTAATAAGTAAGGTATTTAAATTAAGTCCCTTTCTTGTTGATATCTTCAATTATTAGTGATTTTTTCCCCATTATGGTTCTTAAATACACTTCCTTAGTTAATTTAGGGTGCTATAATAAAATACCATTAACTGAGTCATTTTTAAACAACAAAAATGTATTTCTCACAGTTTTGGAGGCTAGGAAGTCCAAGATCAAAGTATTGGCAGAAGTGTCTGGGGAGGGCCCACTTCCCAGTTCATTGGTGGCATCTTCTCACTGTGTCTTAATAATGTTGGGAGGGACAAGGAGCCTCTCTTGGACATCTTTTATAGGGATTTTAAGCCCCTTCAAAAGGGCTTTATGCTCTTGACCTAATCACCTCCCAAAGGTGCCATTTCCTTATACCACTACTTTTGGGTATTAGGATTTCAACATAGGAGTATGTGGAGAATACAGACATATGATGTGTAGCAGACACTAAAAGGAATCACTCACTGTTTTCTTTCTCATGACCACTTGGATGTTTACACTGAATCTTGGGGCTGTGGATCTTTTAATTAGAGCAAACCCTATGTCCAATTTAATGCATTGTAGAAAAAACAATTGCTACTGGATGACTTTTGTAAACCACCAGTTAGCAAACTGTCCAGAAGGTCACACAGAAAATACTATGTGGTCAGCTTTCTAAGCAGAAAAGTTCTGAATCCAGCTTCTCCACTGGCCCATGTGTGTTGTAGCTTAGGTTCCTCTTCCCAGTCAAGTACTTGCAGAAGAACCTGCTTGTTTGGCTGCTACCAGTGCTGAATGGGCCCTGAAAATGTCACAGCTCCCACAGAAATAGCTGTACTTCCTGTGACCTGGAGAGACAGGTAGTGGTGTAATGGTCAGCACAGTGCTGCTTGTATGCACTGCTGCATGCATGGGGAGAACCTGGTGTTGAGGGAAACCATCCTGAAGATCCTGTAGGCCCCTGTGAGTTTTCACAGTTCTGGAAGCTAGGAAGGATGCAGCTGGAAAGGATGAAACTCAAAATGAAGGTATTAATGTTATTAATATTGATGCTCCAAATAAAATCACATCAACAATCACAAAGTGATTGTATAGGCTACAACAAAGAGTAATGGAAAATAAATGATCTTAAAGGGCTTAATTCATCTTTCTCAGTCTAACATATCAAATAGATAAAAGACTATGAATATAGAAGACCTAACAATGTTGTATGATGACTCTGGTTGCTACATAGCAATCTGAACATTGAAAGAAGACAGGACATTTTAAAAATAGGTTATTGGGAAATTCCTTAGAATTGACCCTATGTCAGACAACAGAGCAGATGTCATAAAAATGGAAATTAGAAACACCTAAGAAAACACTATCATCTAGGCATTTATTTTAGGTTGAAGAGAAAAACTAAAGTGAAACTAGAATATCAGATAATACTTAAAATACTCTATACTTATGACATACAGTTTAAACTTTATAGAAAATTCTAGACATTTTGTAGAACTATATAGAATAATTATTTCCACCTCTTACAGATTCTTTTAAAGGGAACCCACATTAAAGAAACAATGGATAATTCTTCACACCATTGCTATATTTATCTCAGCTCCAAAAATCAGCATCTTACTTAAAGAAGCTCTAGTAGAATTCTTGTTTAAATTAGAACATGACCAGGACATCAACTATCATGTCTTTGGAGATATCAGCCAACAGAATTAGAAGTAGAAAATAGAAATATAAAAAAACAGAAATGTAGCTGGGCATGGTATCCAGTTCCTATAGTCCCAGCTACTTGAGAGGCTGGCATGAGAGAATCATTTGGGCCCAGGATAACAGCCTGGGCAACATATTGAGACTGTCTTTAAAAAAATTCCTAAAAAAGAAAGAAGTGTAAAACTGTAGATTTTACTTTCTGATGATATTTTTATTTAACTGGTGATCCAAGAGAACCAACTAAAAAGTGTTAGCACTAAGATAATTCAGGAAAGTAGCTAGATGCAGAGTTAATATGTAGAAATCAGTAGTATTTATATATAAAATTTGGATTTGTTATGAGATAATAAAAATAACCTTGCAATAGCAACAAAAAATACAGAAATTTACAGTGAAAATAAAAGGTCTATAAAGGAACATTTTACTGTATTAGTATTAACATATTTTAAAAATATTCTAATATTTTATTAATTTATATTCATAATTATTTGTATTATATTTTGTTCTTTTTGATACTATTATAAGCATTTTCTTTTCTTTCTTTTTTTTTTTTTTTGGTACTGGGGATTGAACTATAAGTCATTTTCTTAATTTCTTTTTTCTTTTGGTGCCAGGGATTCTTTTTAGTTTATTTTTTGGATTGTTCACTGCTAGTATATAGAGATATGAGTTTTTAGGGGCCAGAGGTTTAGCTCAGTGGTTCCATTGCCTGCCTGGCAAGTACAAGGTCCTGAGTTTGATACCTGGTTCTGCAAAAAAAAAAAAAAAAAAGATATGATTTTTTTAATGTAGTATAATCTTGAATAAGATTTTGTGTAGTATAATCTTGCTTTATCCTAATAGTTTTTAGTGGATTTCTTTGGATTTTCTATATTTAAGATCAGGTTATCTTGAAACTAGAAATGGTATTATTTTATTCCAGTGTGGATGCCTTTTATTTCTTGCCACTTTGTGAAGCAGTTCTGGAAATTTTCTTTCATGTATTTATAAGATATAATAAAAAATACTACTTCCAAGAGCTACCCAAAAGAAAGGAAGGCCTGTAAAAATATGATGGTATGTCCTCACCCTCCTTGTTTGCTAGTTCTGATTCTGCAATTTCTGGCTCTTCCCTAAGTTAGAATAACCATGAAAGATACACATTTTGAATCAGTTCAGCATGTCAAGGCAGCCATGACAGTGCAACTAAAGATACTCATGAAAGAGGACTTCCAGAGCCACTTCAGACAGTGGCAAGAGTAATGGGAGAAGTGTGTCTGAAGCAAGGGGGAATATTTTGAGGAGGATTAATTGCAGCATGTCTTATACTGCGATAAATTTCTTATATTTAAACACTTTTTGATTACAGTTATACACACACAATTGATTTTGGATTTGTTATGAGATAATAAAAATAACCTTGCAATAGCAACAAAAAATACAGAAATTTACAGTGAAAATAAAAGGTCTATAAAGGAACATTTTACTGTATTAGTATTAACATATTTTAAAAATATTCTAATATTTTATTAATTTATATTCATAATTATTTGTATTATATTTTGTTCTTTTTGATACTATTATAAGCATTTTCTTTTCTTTCTTTTTTTTTTTTTTTGGTACTGGGGATTGAACTATAAGTCATTTTCTTAATTTCTTTTTTCTTTTGGTGCCAGGGATTCTTTTTAGTTTATTTTTTGGATTGTTCACTGCTAGTATATAGAGATATGAGTTTTTAGGGGCCAGAGGTTTAGCTCAGTGGTTCCATTGCCTGCCTGGCAAGTACAAGGTCCTGAGTTTGATACCTGGTTCTGCAAAAAAAAAAAAAAAAAAGATATGATTTTTTTAATGTAGTATAATCTTGAATAAGATTTTGTGTAGTATAATCTTGCTTTATCCTAATAGTTTTTAGTGGATTTCTTTGGATTTTCTATATTTAAGATCAGGTTATCTTGAAACTAGAAATGGTATTATTTTATTCCAGTGTGGATGCCTTTTATTTCTTGCCACTTTGTGAAGCAGTTCTGGAAATTTTCTTTCATGTATTTATAAGATATAATAAAAAATACTACTTCCAAGAGCTACCCAAAAGAAAGGAAGGCCTGTAAAAATATGATGGTATGTCCTCACCCTCCTTGTTTGCTAGTTCTGATTCTGCAATTTCTGGCTCTTCCCTAAGTTAGAATAACCATGAAAGATACACATTTTGAATCAGTTCAGCATGTCAAGGCAGCCATGACAGTGCAACTAAAGATACTCATGAAAGAGGACTTCCAGAGCCACTTCAGACAGTGGCAAGAGTAATGGGAGAAGTGTGTCTGAAGCAAGGGGGAATATTTTGAGGAGGATTAATTGCAGCATGTCTTATACTGCGATAAATTTCTTATATTTAAACACTTTTTGATTACAGTTATACACACACAATTGATAGCATGTGATAGAACACACCAAGAATTTGGTAACATTGTTTACCTCTGTAGAGAGGAATCCAATGGCCAGCCAGGAGTTAGTGGGAGGGAAACTTCACTGATATTTTTCCCCACATTTTGATTTTTGTATTATGTGACTTATTCTTGTAAAAGTGCTGATGCAAGGAAGACCATGTCTATGTTAGAGGGCTGAGGCTTTGTTAGTTCGTTTTTAAAAGGCAGGTCTTGCTGTGTATTCTAGGCTGGCCTAGAACTCATCGTGTAGTCCAGACTGCCCTGAACTTGTGGCAGTCTTGCCTGAGCCTCCCAAATGCTGGGATTACAGGTGTGCGCCACCACGCCCCGCTCAAGGCCTGAGGTTCTTGACTTTGGCTCATTATTTTTTCGTCTTGTCATTTTTTCTCTTTCTCATTGTAGATCCTTATGAACCAGTCTAGTTAAAATCTGAGAAAGGTAAAAGGTTCTGATAGTGTTTCACTGTGTGTGGATGATAAAAGCTTTTTTTCCCTCTGATCTTCTATAGAACGACCTGCTGATTGGTCTGAGTCTGTCCTTGAGGAAGACACATCTGAGCCTGAGCCTGTCTTCCCCAGGTAAACTTTTCTCCAGTTCTCTCCAGTCTTCAGTTTAGCCCCTGCCTAGGGGAGAGGGAGTATGCAAGCCTCTCCTCAGGGGAGGGAGAGAGAGAGAGAAGAGAGAGGAGAGAGAGAGTATAGAAGAGAGGAGAGAGTGTATAGAAGAGAGAGAGAGAGAAAGAGAAAGAGAGATTGGTTTTCTGTGGTTGTCCTGAGGCTGACTTGGGGAGCACTTCTATAACTGAAGTTTGTAAGGGGTGTACAGGTATGCAGAAGGCAGAGATGACACATCCGTGTTCTTGCAGACAGGAAGCTGATTTACTTCTTCCTTGGGGGGCTGGAGGGTACAGCCTCATAGCAAGCTTGCTGGTCCACAGATGGGCACATCAGGTCTTCTGTACCAGGTGGCAAGTGGAGAATGGGGATGAGCAGTGTCAGGGGTCCTAGTAGCAGTCTGTCTGTTACTGGTCTGATTTCAGCTAAGGCTGCCAGCCTCTTATCAATATGGAAAAAAATTTGCTGAGATTGAGTCATTTGGGAGCATTCGTAAAAAAAGAACACACGCAGAAAACTTAATAAAACTCACAGAAAAAGTGACTAGGAGAAAATGCAATAATTTTTTTTTGGTACCAGGGATTGAATTTAGGACATTGTGCTTGTGAGGCAGGCAGCGGCACCACTGAGCTAAATCCCAGGTTGAAAATGTAATAATTTTTGTCATTTGATATCTCCCCTTCCATCCCTGTAGGACTATAGGTGCCATCCAGCACTGCCTCAACCTGACATCAGTATATACCCATTTCCTGCCCCAGCATGGCCGCCCAGAGGTCACCACGATGCCCTTAGGTCTTGGAATGACAGTGGATTACATCTTTTTCTCAGCTGAGTCCTATGAGAATGGGAACAGAACTGGTAAGCTTGGAAGATCCCGGTTTCCGGGACTAGCTGATAGTAGGTGAGACATTCAGTGGTGTGGCCTGGGTTCCCGGGACCTGACCTGGGTCTAGTTGTCCTTATTTTTCTCCGTGAAGGACAGTGCCTGCCTTTTTTTTTTTTTTTTTTGGTACTGGGGATCAAACTCAGGCCCTTGTACTTACAAGGCAGGTGGTGAAACCACTGAGCTAAATCCCCAGCCCCTACCTTTTCTTTTTTTGCTTGAAACATCAGAGACAGGTGGATGGGACAGTCAGTCTCCATCCCTGTTTTAGAGGAAAGAATAGAGCCCCAGGAGGTGATTAGATGTGTTCAGGGGCAGCCAGTCAGTGGATTTATAAGATTACAGATCCTGGTTCCTGCTCTCTTCACCTGTAGCAGCAGTTACAACAAACAGTGTACCACTCACTGATATTCTCGTGGGGGTTTCTGAGGAGGTGGGCTGAGTGGGGCAGCCAAGGGGTTGTGGGTTATGGAAGGAGTGGTTCCCAGAGGGCCTGCCCTGCCTGCTGGGCAGTGTGGCAGGGGCTCTTCTGCCCATTGGCTTCTGCTTTGTGCCCAGATGCCAGTCTGGTTCAAGATGGAACTCTCAAGCTGCTGGGCCGCCTCTCCCTCCTCTCTGAAGAGATTCTCTGGGCTGCCAATGGCTTACCCAACCCCTTCTGCTCTTCAGACCATCTCTGCTTACTAGCCAGCTTCAGCATGGAAGTCACCGCCCTGTGACAACCCAGGGGAGAGAGCTCCTCTACTGGAAGAGCTCACTGGATCAGTGACTGTGGAAATGCCCTGTGCTGTGGAAACTCACGTCCCTCCCCTTATTCCCTCCGGCCTGTCCACATTCTGGCTTCTGGTCCCTGTCCTGCCCCAGCCTCTTCCTGATCCAGTGCCATATACTCAGTGGCCCTGGGAGAGGCAGAAGGAGGTTCCCTCTTCCCTTCATGTACCCAGTGCTCCCCCTTAACTTTTAATTACCGGGGTTTGGGAGCTTTTGATCTTACTGGTTGTTTGCTTTCAGGCTGCTTCTTGGGGGTAGCTTCTGACCCAACCTTTCCCCGCCTTCATGACCACTGGGCCCAGCTCTCTTGCCAGGCATGCACACAAGATGTCCATCCTCTTGGTCTGGGGCTGCCCACCACTTTCCACACTGGGGCCATGGGCCTAGGACAGGTGAGGAGCATAACCCTGGGGTCCTATGTTTCCAAGCGGCGACAGGATAGGGGCTCTTCTTTTCCTTTATCCTTGTGTTCCATTAGTCATTCATCCTGCCAGTGGGGGCACACTTATCTGGGCTCTGGGAATGAATGAGCCCAACTGCCTGGAGATCAGACTGGGGGGCGCACTACCTGCCTGGTGGGCTCTTGCCTCTACCCCAGAGCTCCCCACAGTCCTGACATGCTTTTTCTAGGGCTCGCCCCTTTCCCCAGGCTCCCCTGAGGGAGTCACAAGTCTGAAGCCTTGTGTCAGATTCAGTGGACTGGGTCAGTGGTGTGAAGTTTAAAACTTTAAGGGTGAGGAGAAAGAACCTCAGGAAACTTCTCGTTGCACTTTGTGGCACTGGCTAAGGTGGAGTCCTGTTAGGAAAGAGCAGATGGGCCCTGCAGCTGCCTCAGCTAGGACTCAGATACGAAGGGGCTTGCTGTCTTTCTTCTGCACACCTTAGAAGCAGTTTTCTGTTCTTTCCTCCAACCACTTTTACTTTATGCCACCTCCTGCCTCCCCCAGACCTTTCCATTTCTCTACAGAAAATCTTGCCATTTAGCTCATGCCACACTATCTCAGCAAAATGGTGGCTTCGGGCAAAACTAGTACAAGAACTGGGGGTGGCAGTGCTTGAAGACTTGCTCTGTGCAGCAGTGCCTTGGTACTTGTTGCCTGTTTTCCCTCTGACATGGTACCCTGGCCCACTCAGGGACTCCCTCACCCATACCATGACACCTGCATGCCTTACTCCGATTGCTGCGCCTGGGCCAGCGCCTCCCTCATCTCCCTGACTCAGAGTAGCTGCTGGCCCTTGTGAGTTTGCCTTGCTGTTCCTCTACTCAGCCCTGAGATGAGACTGAAGGGGACGCCCAGGAGGCTGAAGTTAGGGACAGTGGGCTAGAGGTTAATGTTCTTTCTTTTTTTTGAAAGCCAAAGACCCAACTTGAATTGTGCATCCCTGGTTGTAAGCTTTTCATGCCTAGGTTTTGGGGGATTTCTTTTTTCTATGTGTGTCTATTTTTTTAGCTTTGTTTCCTGGGTCCTGGCATGTGCCTGTCTGAGCCCCAGGCCTGTCAGACCATACCCTGCTGTTCACTCTCTGTCCCTGGACAGCTCCAGAGATGGCCTCAAGACAGTGCTGTGTTGGTCCCTAGGACAAGGGCACACCACTGGTGTCTTCCGCCACGAATGCAGGGTGAAAAACAGCCAAAGATGGCAGGGACCAGAGCTTGATTTTTCCTTGTTTTATTTGTTTCTGTTTTAGAAATGAAATAGGGGTTTTAAATGGTCATTTAAGCTGCACTCTGCAGTCTGCAGACTGGGGCAACTTTTTCCAAATAAAGGTTTACCATTTCTCCTCATTGTTGGTCTTTTCATTAGGACCTCAAAAGGGGGTTGGGGTCATGAGAGAGGCCTGGAGGATGAGGTGGGCAGAAAGGTAGAACTGAGGAGCTTTGGACTTTGGGGTGGGGTTTCAATATCTTAAGTCTACTGTAATCTGCCTGTGTTAATCTCCCACTGCTCTGAGGCCTGGGACAAACAGGACCTGAGTGAAGCCTCCTACCCTGACTTTTCTGGGTACCACTCCCTTCTCTGACCCCACCACGTGAGAGGAGAATGGTTCTAACCTGGTTGCTTTTGTTCTTATTCCATGTGCTGCCCCTGTGCCTCCCTGCGGCCCATACCACAACTTAGGAGGTCTATTTGGAAAGTGGGGTAAGATGTGTATTTCCCTGGTCAAAGCTATGGCAGCTGCCCGAGGCAAGATGCATGTGGCAGATGCCTCTTGTCGAGTGTCTATTTCGGATCATCTCTTGCATTCTAGTGCCAGGGCTGAGCTATGGGCCATCTGTCTATATGGGCTGGAACATTTCTCTTTCTTGCCGGGCCCACCTCTGCTGGTACTTTTGTTCTTCTCCAGCCTCCCTGTGCAATAAACTCAGGCAAAGTCATATGAAACCAGGTGTAGTTTTCTGATTTACCTGAATAGATTCTTAGACTCTACTTCACTTTTGAGTTGTTCTCTGGGAGTCTGAGTTATTATAAAACCATCTGGTGTTTCTGATGTACTGGCTGGGTTGGGAATCCATTGATTTCATAGAAATAAAACTTAGCCAGGGATTAGGAACACCACTCATAATCTTATCTCGGTTGGTGACTGTAGATAAATTACTTTATCCTTCTGCATTTCAGTTTACATCCCTTGATGTAATGGAAATTAAAGTACTACACATTTCTACTTACAAGGAATTTTCAGATCTACTTTGTGCTGTAGCTAAGAATTCCAGGGAATTCAGGTAAATGTTAGGATAGTGATGGCAAACCTTTTAGAGCTTTCAGAGAGTACAAACAGCTGTCTGTGACACACATGCCATAGTTTTGTCACCACTATGTTAGAGGGTAGATGGTTCTCCCCAGCCAGGCTGGATTTGGCCTGTATAAGTATTTGAAAGCTGCAAGCTTTGAGGTTTGGGCTCTTCTTGATATGGAAGACTCCAGTTACCTCAGTTATTTATTTATTTATCTCTCTCTCTATTTTTTTTTTTTTTTTTTTTGAGACAGGGTCTCACTATGTAGTTGAGACTGACCTGGAACTCACTATGTAGCCCAGGCTGGTCTCGAACTCACAGCGATCCTCCTGCCTCAGCCTCCCAAGTGCTGGGATTACAGGCATGCGCTACCACGCCCGGCTACCTCAGTTATTTAACATGGGCACAACACTTAATGTTGGCTGTTTACTCAGCACTTTGATATAGGGAACTCACTGCAGAGGGACAGTGGAGTTGTTCCTCAGATTGTACTGTTACCACCAAGGAAAAATCCCAGAGAAGCTAAGAATCTTGGCTCTGCTTCATCTCTTGCCAGCCTAAGCACATCTGAATCCAGCACTTCTGGAAGTCAGTGAGACAGGCCACCTAGCAGGGCAGACACGCATCCGGCAGGGGGCTGGGAAGGGAACCTCAGAGATACCTGTAAGCTGGAGACCAAGAAACAAAATGATCAGCTAGGGTGCTGCTGTTTTTTGTTTGGTTTTTCTTTCCATTTCTTGCCCTGGTGTAGCTACAAAATAGAGGATTGGGTTTTTGGTTACTCATATATAAAATGCACCCTAGGGCCTCTCTCCTCCCAGGGAAGGAGGGCCCAGCTCCTCCAGTTTCCATCAGGAGTGGGGAGCTGCCCGAGGCCCTGGGTTCCCAACACCATGGTGTACCCTCCTGTCCTTTTCTCTTCTCCTGAGCAAACATGCAGTTAAAATTGCAGACAAGAGGGCAGCCAGGTTAGGGGCTGGTGGGTGCACGCTGGCCTGGATGGGAAGAATGAATTTCATGTGTTTTAAAGGGAACTTTGCCCTCTCCCCAGTTAGTTCGTATGACCTTAGGACCTGGGACCTTAGCCAGCTGTGGAGAGAATGAAATCACACTTAAATTCTTGGAGGTTTTGTTTCCCATGACCCAGTCCTATCTGGCTGAAGATTGGAAAGCATCCATATATTTGTGCATATTGTCCTGTGGGCTGGACTTGAGAGCTAGCATTCCAGCTGACCCGAGGCGCCCCATCTTCACCACCTGCCAGGCCCCCCGAGCTGGTCCCCACAGCCCCACTGGCAAACCCAAGCATTACCAGTCAATCCGTGTCTGGGCCAATCTGCCCAGTCCATGGTTTAACTGCTTCCGAAATGCCGGGCCCTGCCAGATGGTGGTAGTAGAGCTCCCGTCTCTTCACCTTCGGGGCTCTGAGAAATGCTGTGTGCATCCAAAAGTCCAACCTAATTTACATGCCCAATTCTTGTACCTAAATTGGACACTGGACTCAGCTGCTCACTGCAGCTGTGAGCCTGAGAACCAGGGCAACAGGGAATAAAGCAACCCTCTCTTCCCAGGAAGTTGGGTTCTGATCCTCCCGTGAGTCTGCAGTGGCACTTCTGCATTCTGAGGCGGCGGCCCAGCAGTGTCCACATGAGCCTGCTGGGCTCGAGGCACAAAGCCTTGCCCCAGCCCTCCCTCCCTGGAGTATTTCTGGGCCCTCCATGTTCAGGCTATCTCACTGACACTTGCCCACCCAGCCCTTTGCTGTGTTAGCTGAGCTTAAGTGTGTGAATGACAGTGGCCCCTTTATGGAAGGCTGTACAACCCAAGGTATTCACAAATCCTAGTTACCTTTATGGAAAGGCTTTTTCAGAGTATTTTTTTAGCTGGGTTTAAGTGAGCCAACAACAAAACTGCCTCTACTTAATGGCATACAGGCAAGATGTTCGTGGATTCCTGCAGATAATCTTCCCCCAAGCCCCAGTCACCACCACACTATTGAAAACAAGGGAGGCTAGTGTGCTACACTGTGCTACAGGGTTTTGGGGGCATTGGCTGGTATTAGATAATAGGAAATCTTATAAATCTGGATTTTGCTCCTAAGCTGAACAGTGAGCGAAGACATGGGGAGAAAAGGTTAGAGCTGAAAAATGTTGTAGGATCTAAGGGATGCTTCTTCTGTGAGTCTTACTCTAACCGCTTGGGCTTGTTGACATGTGGGAAGATGTCCAGAGCCAGAGGGATGGTGGTGAAGGGCTTGTGGGTGGATGTAAAGACTCCCAAAGCTGGAGACTAGGAACCGATGAGAAGAGACTTCAGATCCCCGTTGCTATGGTTTCCTGAAATAAGCTCGTCTCCTGGAAGAACACTCTATTCTCCTTTGTTCCCGATGGACTCTTGTGGGCTCAGGCAGAGAGCAGGGCTGCAGATATATCCTAGGGGCAGACTTGGGCCTCATTACAGCCTAACAGGAGAGATGGCTAGGAGCCGAGCGGCCTGGGCAGGCTGAGAACATTCTATCCTGAATGTTCACAGGTTTCAGGCTCCCTCCCCTCACCTCTGTGCAGGTTCTTCCCAACAGATAGCAGGGCTGACACCTGTGGGGCGGGGTAGGCCCAGGTCGGCTCCCACGGGAAAGGAGACAAAGCTTCATGTTGTGATTTTTGTCCAGCCCACACAACTGGAGCTAGAGAGACTTTATTCATTTCAGGGGAAAAACGAGGACAGGAATGAAACGAAGAGTGAGCGTGAAAGGGAGGGGTAAATACTGATCTGAGGACAGGAAGAATGTCCAGAACATAGTAGCCAAACACAGCTGGGAGGAGGGGTCCATCATCACCAGGCCATGGCCAAGGATGCCCAGGTCTCTCCTCTCGTCAGACTGGAAAAAGGCAACCTGAGACCCCGAAGCACCGTGGTGAGCTGAGAGGGTCACACAGAGGGCCCTGCAGCTAGCACCATGGCAGTCCTGCCTGCTTGGGAAAGCTGTGGTACCTGGCGGGGCAGACCCCCAGCCTCTTCAGAGCACGACATCTGCCCTCTACACCTTCAGCAGCTGGGTGCGGCATGGCCATCCTACATTCCGAGGCCAGGGACACGAGGCAGAGGGCAGGACTGCGATGCTGCTGTAGCTAAGCCAGTCTGCATCCCAGGCAGGAAAAGCAGGTACACATGCACACAGGCCTCCAGGCACTCTACCAGCTAGAGTTACGTGACTCCCAGAGCCAGAAGTCAAGCCCATGCTGAAGGAGTGGGGCATGAGACGACAAGGGCTAGAGATGAGACGCAGCCAACTTGTGGGCTCTTCCTGCTCCTCGGTCCCCTGGCCCTAGGCTTTACTGTTTCCCGTGGGGACCAGGGTGCTGCTGCTTTCCACTTGGCCATGCCGGTGAAAGGATGGGTGGCTGGCATGACCGATGAGCATGAATGTGGCAAGGCCATGGAGGGAGAGGACTGGCAGGCAGGTGGAGGGAAGGCTCACTGGAGCCAGCTTCCCAGAATTCTGACCCTGACGCTTGACACAGGGAGCCAGGCTTTGGAAAGACCTGCAGTACCCTCTGCCCCGGTCATCTCTACCAAGCAGCTTTCTCTGAGCTCACCTTGACCCCTCAGCCTGCATCCCCCAGCCAGGGGAAGAGGAGCTAGAAGGCAGTCCTCAGTCAGGGGGAGCTGGGTCTCATCAGCCAGGCCTCCGTCCCTCACAGGAAGTGAGATGAGGTGATACCATGGAATGGTGACTAAGGCCCCAAAGTCCCTGCCTCTCGGCCTCCCCAGAAACCTCACAGCCGGGCCAGCCCCAGAGAGCAGAGCCCGTGTAAACAGCCCAGGAGGGGAGGAGGATTGCTACATATGACAAAGTTAAAAAATTAAAAAGCACCGCTGTGTCCTGTGGTGGTCTCCACAGGCCTGAGGTCTCAGCTCAGGAAGGTGAGTGCCAGGGGGTTAGTTAGGGACCACTCCCTCCCACAGACAGCAAGCAGGGTTGGGTTCCACTCTGCTTCCCTTCTCCCATGGCCTTGGGAACCCAGGGCAGCTCCTAGGGATCTGGGACCAGAAGCAGCTTCCTTTGCATCCACCGATTCCAGCTCCTGGCTCCCTCGCACAGCTCTGCACCCCAATACCCTGTCATTTCCTGGAAGTTCCCAGAGGCATCTAGGGCTGCTTGCCTGTGGATGAGTAGCTACAACCAGAACCAGAGCCAGAACCAGAACAGAGCTCTGAAGGCGGCCCATCTCTCCGTGTGTTAATGTGGGAAAAGACCACCATCCCCACTCTGCAAGTTGAGATGGGAGAGTCAATCAGTGGTCACCATGACCTGCAGTGTTCTGACCAGGCTAGAGCCTCCAGGGAGGTTAGGAACCTTCCCAGCCCGCCCCCCAACCTGCTGAGACAAGGAACTGACCGGTGGGCTTACCAGGGTGGCTCTGGCTGGGCCCTGCTGGGCCTGGCTCTGGGCCAAGGGCTGCTGGTCTGAGGAGCTGCCAGCCTCCAATGCCTTCCCTGCAAGCACTCTCATCAGCAAGTGTACCTGTTCCTTCCTCCGCTCCCGGGCTCACCCACCTCCTGGTAGGCTGAGAGCTGGACCGTCTCTATGCCACTCTGGGGGTCTCACCTGCCAAGGCTCCCCTCGACTGCCCAGTCCAGCTCTGGGGAGCTCAGAACTGTCACTTTCCACCACACAGCACCGCAGTGGACTCCTCCCGGCATGATCTATACCAGAGATTGCAAACTGGCATTCTTTTACCTATACTGGGATTTTACATTAAAAAAAAAATCATCAACCCTTAAAAGATTTCACACACAAATGCAGTTCTGGCCTTTGAAAAACTAGACAACCTGTCTGCACATGGCCTGGAACTGAGAGAGCAGCCCCTTCAATGGCGTATTCCCTCAAGTGTGCCACAGTCCCCACCCAGTCCTGCTACCTGCCTCTCAGTCACCTGCTATTCCTGTGGGCATTTGGGTTTACAGTCTTAGTTCTGGCCCCTTATCCAGGCCCCCAGGCCCTCTGTAGCCTTTCTGACAGTGGCCCTGATTAACTCACAGCCTCTTGGTAAAGTAAAACTTAATGGTCACCTCATCCAGCTGCCCTTGTACAACCTGAATCTTCTCTCCCACTTCCTGACAAGTTGCCTTCTATGCTGTAGGGAACTCACTCCTCCCAAGGCACCCTGATCCCAGCTCCCCTCCCAATGTCCCTTTCTCACTTACATCCCCAGTTCGGGCTCTGTCCCTCTGGTGGCCACACTGCACCCTTGCCCTATACCTTTCTGCTAAGTGAATCCCCAGAACTCTTCCCCAACCCTGCCAACCTCTGTCCACATCCTCTCAGTTCCCCCCTAGAGATCGCTTGCCAGATGGGCAGATGTGACTCCAACTGCTCAGGCTCTTTCCTGCCAGTGCATCGAAGTGCCAGACATGGCAGACTGGACCATCACTGTAAGCCCCAGGCCTAACTGGGCTGCTAAAGCAAGGCAGTGGCCCTGGGGCAGAGGTGGGCCTGGAAGGGACACTGCCAGGGAAGAAACTCGGGCCTAAGAGTCCCACCCCATCATCCTGTGCCCAACCACAGCTCCCACACTGGTCTGTCTGCCCAGTCATGCTGACCCTATTACCCAGTTTTCTGTAAAGCCCTGGGCTACTGCAACAGGCAAGAGTGGGATAAGCCAGCAGACCCTGTTATGGGCCAGTGAACCCCTCACCCTGAGTGAGGTTCACCCTGAGTGAACCTCTCAGCTCCTCCACAACTTAGCCCCCTGCTGGCTACAACACAGGCTCCCCCAGTACTGCTCATGGGCCCACCAGGGCCTGAGCTGTGCCCTCACTCGAGCAGATGAAACTTGCATCAAGCTCCTGATTAAGACCTATACAGACAGACCTTTGTCGGGGTGATTCCTACCCTGCTTCCCTTCCCTGGGTCAAGATTCTGCCAGGACATTCTGCTCAATTGGAGAAATACTTCCACCCCACCCCTACCCCAGGCCCTCCTGTAGGCTGGTGGGGCCTATGAAATGTCCTATATAGGACACACTCAAATCCCAGAGAGGTGCCATTCTCCTGCCTCTCTCGGGGGTTGAAACAGTGTGCTTCTGGCCACCAGCACATCCATGTGTCTTTTTTTCCCCAAACATCTTAAACTTCAGTGGTAGAGCTAAAAACTCCAAACAAAACATTAACGGCCTCTTGGCCCAAAGGTAGGGGTTTGGCTCAGTGGGAGGGGATCGGCATGAGGCTGAGCTGCCACACACCCTTCCTGTGGTCCCTTGAGCCCTGCCCAAGAGTGCGAGCACAGCTGGTTCCAGGAGGTGGGTCCTGGCCTCCAGAAGTAGGGGGCTGGGGGTGCCAGCATCCACTCTCACACTCGGATCTGGTACCCATTGAGGTCTGGCATGGCTTTGGGCTCTGAAGGCTTCTTCTCACCCGACAGCCTGTAGGAAGGGCAGAGAAAGCAGGAGGGAGTGGTCATCAGGGAGAATGCGGAGGTGGGAGCAGTTACAGCTGTCCAGACTGGCTCTTGTGCCTTTCTCTGAGGGCCCTCCAAGGTAGCAGGTAAGGATGTTTGGAAGTGTGTTTCTGGAAACCCTGGCCACCCTGTGCTTCCCAAATGCTGTTTCAGCTCTCTTGTTCTTTGCTGGAGGTTAACTAATCCCATAGCAGGTGGTAGGTAATAGTTTAAAGTATAAATCTCCCTGGGGGCTCTGTGACAAAAATCCTCCTAGATCAAAGTCAACAGTGATGGCAGCTTTGGTGCCAGAGGTCTGCTTGGCATCCCTAAATTCATACCATGGAGGTGGCTCTTAGTTGACAGTTATAATTAAAGCAAGAGCCAAAATCAGAGTAGGAAGCCTGGTATTTTAATGGCAATTTTTTATTTTGTGGGTACCAGGAACTGAACTCAGGACCTTGTGCTTGTGAGGCAGGCACAGCACCACTAAGCTAAATCCCCAGCCTTGATGGCAATTTTTGCATCTAGACACAGACATAACCCACAAACACATGGTAGCAAAAGCTTGTTCAAAGCCATTTCTCCTGGCTACAGAGATCCATAGGTCATCTTCAAACCCTCCCCAGGAAACTGCTGAGGGAACCAGCCCTGTTCCCACACAGCCCATTCCACTGCCTGCCTCAGACTTTCTTTTGGAGCCTGATGGTCCAGCACGGGGTCGCCAGGGACCAGCTAAGGGGTGTCTGCTTTGGGGAAATGGCACTGCATTGCGATGGACCACGTCAACACAAACATCTGCATCAACCATTCTGTCATTTCCCTTGGGGGTGCAAAAGAGAGAAGGATGGGAAAGAGGAGAAGGGCAAAGAGTCCCGAAGAAGAGAAAAAAGGAGAAAGCCCCCCCCCCCCCCCCGGCCGCCCACTCCC